GCAGTTTCTGCAGCGGGGCGGAGGTGGGCAGCAGCGGCTTGCCGGCCTTCTGCCCTGGGGCGGTGCCCGCCTGCCTGGCCTTCTGTGGGGGCGCCGGCTTCTCCCGCTGGGCCGGGAGGGGGCTCATGCCGTTGGGCCGCGCGCCTGCCTCGCCCCGCTGGAGGCTCTGGGTCTTTTCCTTTAGCTGCGCGGCCAGCAGCGTGGCGGCCTCGGCGGAGAAGCCGGGTGGTGCCTTGGGCTGCGCGGGGCTCCGGGGTGCCTCGGCCGGCCGTCTCTCCACACCGGGCCCCCCCATCCTCTTGAGCGCGGAGTGCAGGGCACCGTTGAGGTTCTCGGCGGGCTCCGGTCCGGTCCGGCTGCGCTGCCTGGCCTGAGTGGGGCCGGGTGGGCCCTCGGGGCTGCCGGGCTCCTGGGGGGGGCGGGGGGCCCTCTCTTTGGCCCGTGCCACCTCGCCGGGGCTCCTCTTGCGCTTGGAGGGGCCGGGCCGGCGCTCCGCCTGCAGCTCGGCCGCACCCGGGGCCGGCAGGGTGTTGCTCTGGGCCGCGTTGTACTTGTGGTGGATCCAGGAGACTTTGGGCTTGGTGGAGGGGTCCGGCGGGGGCGGCTTGGCCCGCTCCGGGGAGGGGGGCTTGGCCGACCGGGGCTCCGCCACCGGGGCCTCCTCCTCCTCCCGGGACTGCCTGGAGAGGCGCGCGATGCGGGCGTAGAGCGCGCCGCTGACCGAGCCGGAGCCGCAGGAGGAGCGCTCGCTGTCCGAGGACTTGAGCAGGGGCGCCTCGCCGCTGTCTGCTGGGCCCGGGGGGTTCTCCTTCAGCATGGTGTACTCGCCAGCCTCCTCCGCCTCCGCCGCCGGCCCTTTGCGCAGCGGCTGCGGCGCCTTCTCCAGGGTGCTGCTCGGGGCTGAGACACGCTCCTTAGGGTCGCTCGTGCTCTCTGCGGAGGGAAGGGAGGGAGAGCGGCAATCAAGACAAGTGAGCCAAGCTGCAAAGAGGCGGGGAGGGGACTGTTCCCCTCCCCCCGGTCACTTTGAGGGCAGGGTGAGCCTTGAGCCACCCATTCCCCAAATTGCCCCCCTCCAAGCCTTTTCAGGTAGGGTTTCCTGCCTGAGCAGCGGGTTGGACTCGATGACCTCCAAGGTCCCTTCCAACTTTATTATTATTATTATTATTATTATTATTATTATTATTATTATTATTATTATTATTATTATTATTATTATTATTATTATTAATCATCGCACAGTCAGCCAGATGTTCAGACTGGATTTGGCATTTTGTCTACCTATCGAGTCCTTCCCAAGGACCTGGGATAGGCAGATGTGGATGTTTGATGTTATTACAGATCTCGTCGCAGGGTGGAAGCAGTTCCTAGTAAGGCCGCCTTTTGCAATTGACTAATGGCGAATTTGTCAATGCCGATGATGGTGTTCAAATGGTGCTCCAGTTGTTTTGGGATTGCACCCAAGGCGCCTATTATTATTGGTACTACCCTTGCTTGCTTCAGCCACAGTCTTTCATTTCTATTTGTAGGTCTTTGTATTTTGTTATCTTCTCCAGTTCTTTCTCGTCTATTCTGCTGTCTCCAGGCACTGCCACGTCCACTATCCAGACTTTTTTGTCTTTCTTATCGACAATTGTTAAGTCTGGGGTGTTATGTTGCAGGTGCTTGTCTGTTTGATAATACCCCAGACTTAACAACAACAACAACAACAACAACAACAACAACAATAATAATTAATAATAATAATAATAATAATAATAATAATAATAATAATAATAATAATAATAATAATAATAATAATAATAAATAATAATAATAATAATAATAATAATAATAATAATAATAATAATAAAATATTATTATTATTATTATTATTATTATTATTATTATTATTATTATTATTATTATTATTATTATTATTATTATTATTATTATTACCTATTGTCAGAAGGCTGCAGCCGGGGAGAAAAGCCAGAAAAAAAATTACTTTGCTAGCCACCTTTCTGACAATTTTCGCTCCCTACAAAGACAAACCTATAAAAATCGCAAATCTGAAAGTCTCCAGCAATCACTGGAGATTGTCCGCCACTGGGCTTCCTCCTCCTAGCCCTGGCAGACTTTTGGCACAGCAGCGAGTGTGGCAGAGAAACCTGCACAAAAGGAGGGATTTGGCTCCAACAAGTATTGAGTGTGCAGAATGCAGTTTGTGCTCAGGGGTGGATTTTATTTCATTTTACAACGAGGAAAGAGATGTTCCTTTTAGCCGTTACTTAATCGTTGATGTGCAAATGATTTGCACGTAGCTCAAGGCAACGCTGAGGCCCAGGCAGAATTTTAAAATGCACGAACAGGCCTGCTTCCTTCCCTTTAGCCAGGTGAAGCCCTTGGAAGCTGGGGTGCCCCCCCCCCAGGACAGAGGTAAAAGCAAGAATATGGGCACACCTGTGTTGTCAAAGGCCTGCCCCTTCCTATGTGTGTTGTAATTGCACTCCAGACTTTTGTAATCTGCCCCAGATGCTGCTGCACTGTCTCCAAATTCAGGGGTAGGGCCAGGGTGCAAAAGGCTGCAGGCCATCTAGGCTACACCTGGATATCACAAAAACTCACAACATTATCCTTTCCTACCACAAAAAAGATGCTGTCCCAGCCAATAGGTTCTGCATCAAGGAAGCAAAAAAACAAACGCCTTTTATTCTTGTAGTTCAGGGGGGTCTTCAAACGTGGCCCTTTGATGACTTGTGGACTTCAATTCCCAGAATTCCTCAGCCAGCGTGCCTGGCTGAGGAATTCTGGGAGCTGAACTCCACAAGTCACAAAAGGGCCAAGTTTGAAGACCCCTGTTGTAGTTTGATAGTGAAAGGTTTCAGGGTTTGTTTTTTTTTAAAGGGGCAATTGGTCTGCAAAATTTGAGATAAAATTAAATACGCTGAACCAAGTTCACGATGCTGAGCAGACTTTTAGTTGTTATTGTTTGTTTTTTTAAATCAAGATTAGCAAAGATTTTGTTGCAGTATTGAGTCTGCAACAGCTACAAATTTCCCTAACGAGCACTCCTGGCAACAGTTGAAGGCACAACCCCTCTCCCAACTCCGGTGCCAAATTGGAGACTGTTTTGGAAAGGATTTTTGTTGAGAAATATGCGTGCCTTTTGTACCAACAGCATTTTTGGAGGTTTGAAGTTTCTTCGCCCACGGATAATCACGCATATTTGCCCGATATAGTTAACTTGGTTATTACATTAACTCATTACTTGGAGAGACACAATAAGCCTTTGCTAGCCAAATGCTCCAGTCACACAACACCCTATGCCAGAAAACAAACATGTCAACTACAAACTAACCAGCAGATTAAATGGTATATTTGTGGGGACGGTCAGTTTCAAGAGGCTGGAACCCATCAGCTGTTAAAGCCAAGGGGTGGGTGGCTGTCATGCCAGGATCCTAAGTGAGTTTGAAGGGGTGTGTTTATTTGTGTTTGTATATGTGTGTGTGTGTATTTTGAAAGCTGGCTGGAAGCCAGGGAAGAGGAGAGGAGAGGGGAAGAGAAGAGAAGAGAGGAGGAGAAGGGAAGGGAAGGGAAGGGAAGGGAAGGGAAGAGGAGAAGAGAAGAGAAGAGAAGAGAGGGAAGGGAAGGGAAGGGGAGAGAGGAGAGGGGACCTGGGGGGAGAGGAGAAGAGAAGAGAAGAAGGGAAGGGAACAGAAGAGAAGAGAAGAGGGGAGGGGAGAGAGGAGAGGGGACCTGGGGGGAGAGGAGAGG